CTACACGCTCGAAGTTCAAGATGGCAAAGCCACTCGTTCTTATCATAAACCACTCCCGTTCAGGGATCTCCTGATGTCTACTTTTGAATATGTAACTGGAAAGCCTCTAATTCCTCGGTTCGCGCTAATCACGGCAACAGTAAAGAGCACGTAGACACCTCCTACCAGCGATTAGGCACGGCATCTGCACTTGTGCTACCTGACTTAATGAAACCCCGTATGACAGCCACGCTGCACAGTTGTCTCTTATCCTCCATCCTCTGGACTGAACATGCGCTGGCGAGTACTAAAATTAGGAAGCGCCCAAGTAACGTCACTGGAAGTCTCCTAACCCTCCATATCGTCAAAATGAAAGAAGTGCTGTCATTTGAGTGAAGCAAAGACAAACCTGTAACTTCAAGTCCATAACGTCGCCATCTTCACTGCGCATGATTACAAGTATGGTAATTATTTCATAGAGCTACAATATCATTTGCAAAGCATTTTGCAGACCAGACGGACGCGCAAAAAATGAAGCATAGCCATACAAGAACGATGTCGTTGTGAGTTGGTGCTGCACTACGGGGGTGAGAAGTGGTGGCAGAAGGCAGTAAGCGACCGGCTTTGGGTGGCAAACATGGAGGAACAGACCTGTCCTTGACATTTTGCAGCACTGACGTCGGGTACAGATCTTTCACTGAAAAATCTTCTGCACATTGTTTGCGCTGACATGAGTACCCCTTGGGACACCTGTTGCAACTAAGTCCGAATTCATATGGTCTTTGATCACCTTCGTTTCCACTAGAGCAATAGAACAGTTCGTAATGTGCAGCAAAGGTGAGGCGATGAGTTAAAGTGGACAAATGACACATACGCAGGCTCGTAGAGACAGACGGTGAGGTATTGTGGATCAGGCCATTGGGGATTGAGACCATCACATTGATGCACGGCGCAGCCCAACTGGGCAGAGCTTGCCCAAACGACCTGTTCAGATGGAAAACACAGGCAATACTCTGCCGACACACCACATTTCCATTATTATGTAGCGTGTGCTTTAACACTACAAGAAGCACATTGTGCTGCTTACTTGTTTGTAGTGGCTACAGACATCACTGCATGTATTGGCACTGAAATTGTAGAATCGAGCTTCGTCTAGCCAATGGCAGACATATTTATACAGCGATGGGTTGTATTCGCTGGAAAGTGCAATGTTGTAACCAATATTGGAGTATTGTGGATAGAGCGAGGGGTCGGGACGTTTAAGAAGGCATTGAGAGGCCCAGGATTCTGCAAGACGCTCCAACTTCATCGAGTACTTCTGATCGAATGAAAACAGTGATATGGGCGCATTGACCAAGGCAAGTTAACGTACTGGCAAATGCATCGAATTAAGTTGAAAGGTGCGTGGGCAATGTGATGGTGACCATTACCATGAGAAGCATATTCTTGGAAGGGGGGAAGACATGTTCTCGTGCGTTGAGGTGGAATTCAAGGACATGTGCTCGATTGATCTCGTCGAGGGGCTCACAGGTTACAGCAGATGCGAGGATGACAACGTCTAGGGCAAGTAAATGAACACACACGAGAATACGTTGTGGAGCGATTTGTGCAAACA